GATGGGTTGTAATTAGTATTTTGGTGGTGAACATGATGTAATCTATGCAGAAATAGAAGTACAATGATGTACACCTGAAATTTTTACAATGTCATAAACCAATGTTACGGCAATAAACAAAAAATTAAAAAACAAACAAAAAAACTATGAAATAGGGTAAATTCAAAAACCAAAAAAAGGTAAATGGATTCAGAAAAAAGTAATATTTTCTAAAAGATTAGAATTTCTTCTTTCTCTTTCTCTATAGTGGCTATTTCTTTCTTCCAACAAGGAACGCATGCTTTGCAGTTTGAAAGTGGGCTAGATCTGATGGACCTGGCTGTCAATCGTAATCATGTAGAAATTTAAAAATAATACAGATTTTGAGATTCTACCCAAAGCTCAATGAATCAGAACCTCCAGAATGGAACCTGAGAATTGTATTAAACACAAAATTCCAAATGCTATCAACACCCGGCCAGGTTTGAAAATCATCAGGAAAGAAACGATCCTTAAAACTTCCATATAATAATGTAATTCTCTAATTCTCCTGTTTGTTGCTAAAAATAACAAAATTAAAGTTCTTTGCTCACCAAAACATTGATTAACTATGATATAACTAAAACTTATCAAACTAAAACAGACTTCTATTTTTATAGGTCTCATAACTAATTCAAGAGGAGATATAACTCATAAATATTTACTTTTTAAATATTGGAGGACTGGTAGACATAAAATGCTTAAGTTCTTGGAATTCCTCCTCATCCTTTAATCCTATCTGCTCCTTGCACTGTTGAGGATGTCTGCTGTCCTTTCCTGAAAGTCTCTGTGTGTCCTAGTTAAGATAAAAGATACCTCTTTTTATTAATATTGGTAATACAAAACTGACGCAGTTGTAAAACAAAGTTTCAGAATGTAAAACTTTGCTTACCAGGTACTCATGGGTATTTAGTGAGGCTTAGGTCTCTTACTTAGGTTTTTATTTACTGTGGTAAAATAAGTCTAAATGGCTTGGATCTAAACTAAAATGCAAAATGGAAACAATCTTACTAGTCTTTAACTCCACTAGATTTATTTTCTGAATACTAGTGTTATCTTTTAGTTTCAGGTAGTCAACTGCCCTTTGGGCAAAATCAGGGCTGTATCTACCAGCTACACAATATAATAAAAGTCAGGCTTAAGTCTATATGAAGAAAAAGAGGAACAAAAAACCACTGGTCTATGGCCCTGTTTACGCTGCAATGCTCCTTTCAAAGGATGAAATATGGCTTTTTCTTTCTCCTTTGAAACTGAAAAACAATAGCCTTCCGCCCTCTTCTCTTCTCTCCACTAAAAACCTGTGCCAATAAAATAACTATTAAAGCGGTTATCCTCTGCCCCTGGCAACAGGCATATAAAGTAGCCAAAGGATTTTTGGGCACCACAGTCAAATTTTTTCTCCTATGATGAAAAAGTAGCAAATTATTGCTATTTAGGACCACTTCTACTTTTTGAAATTAGACTATCACATTATCTTTTGATTTCATTATTTGTCCCTGTGATTCATGCAAACATTACACATATTAACTTATTATAAAACAAATATAAGTTTAAATCCTGGCTCTGCCTCATTTCACTGTATGACTCTGAAGAAGTCAATTCCTATCTTTCAACTGTAACTTTCTCATCTATAAAATGGAAATAACAACAACAACCTGTTATGAGGATTACATGATGTAACGTAAAAGAATTTTGTAATTATTGAGTGCTACACAAAAAACATTGTCTTTTTTGAGGAATAGCCATTTTTAAAAATCAGAGACTATCGCAGGGGCTTGAAATTCTTATAAATTAAGTAAAACGTATTTTTGTTAAAAGTTTACAATAGCAGCCTATACATAGATATCCCGAATAGGAGTCAAGATAAAATTATGCATATGTTACACACTCATATGTATAAGTACCTTAATATTAAATATTTTGATTGCCATTACTTTTGATTTCTGTCATCCACTCACTTTACTGAATCAGAATGGTAAGGTACTCTGCTGCATAAGAACAGCTTTCAAATGTAACATTACCACTTATACAAGAGGCATTTGAACTGGAACAAAAAATAAGGCTAAGTAAAAATTAAAATGGTATATTTTTATATAAAATATTTTATATATAGAGTTAGACTGCCAAGCCTCAAATCTCATCTTCAGTATTTACTAACTGTGACCATGGGTAAATTAAATTTACTTAAATTCTGGCACCAGTTTCCTCATCTATAAAATGGGAATGATAACAATAGCACTGTGCTCCTACGGCTGTGCGGATTAAATGAGATACAGCATGTAGTGTGCCTTTAAACATGTTTGGTACATATCAATCAATCAAATGTTAGGGGCTATAATAGTGTTCTCTGAATAAGAATAGGGTATTAGTGTAAAATCCAGTGGAAGGCTTGGGTTAATTCCTAGAAACGCTAGATGGATTACACTCACATGTAAGCTCCGTGGGGGAGGGGAATGGGGTCACATGGCATGGACCCTCAAGATAGTATTTTAGGAAGACTGCTGAGTACCAATTGAGTATACGTCACGTTGCTGAAAAGCATCAGCAAAACTAAATTATTTTATATGATTTGGTTGGGCTTCCAAAGTATTTATCGGTAGAATTTAGAGGAAAGTAGCACTGTCTCCCAGTAATTAAGGACCTTTAAGTAAGTTAAGCTTTTTAAAATAATTCACATTTTCCTCAATAGTAAATATTTGGATATGAGGAAAAGAGGTAAATTTTTTACTTAAATGTCACAATTTTCAATGAAAGATTTTCATATCACAACTGTACCTTATCTTGCTTTTATATTATGCTTAGTATCATAAGATTAAGATTATGGGCCACCAAGCAAACCTTTACAATGAGCCCTTTTTTCTATTGCACTTCCATTCCATTTTTTCCATTCTTTTTTTTTCCCCATTTCTATTTCCACTGTCTACCCATAAGCCAAGAGTAGTAATTATGTACATAAATAGCTCTTTCTTTTAATTTCTTAAATAACACAGGGTGATAAGCCAACAGTCACACCTATTATCATTTTTTTTTTTTTGTGAGGAAGATCAGCCCTGAGCTAACCTCCATGCCAATCCTCCTCTTTTTTTTGCTGAGGAAGAGTGGCCCTGGGCTAACATCCGTGCCCATCTTCCTCTACTTTATATGGGACGCCGCCACAGCATGGCCTGACAAGCAGTGCATCAGTGCACGCCCAGGATCCAAACCCGGGCTGCCAGCAGCGAAGCACACGCACTTAACCGCTACACCACGAGACCGGCCCCTTATTATCATTTTTTGTCCCCTCTTTTGACAAATAACTTTATATTTTTAGCATCTCACACATATTTTCTTTTTTTTTTCTTTAGTGAGGAAGATTGGCTCTAAGCCAACATCCGTGCCCATCTTCTTCTATTTTATACGTGGGACGCCTGCCACAGCATGGCTTCATAAGTGCTGCATAGGTCCGTGTCTGGAATCCAAACCCGTGAACCCCAGGCCGCCGAAGCAGAGCGTGCACAACTTAACCGTTATGCCGCTGGGCCAGCTCCTCATATACATTTTCTAAACACATATATGTCACATACATAATTTCATATCTTCATATATCTTATATACAATCTGTTACTCTCTCCCTTCTTCCAAAGAGATAAGCTATTAAAGACAATAAAAAAGGTAAACTAGAATTTATGTGAAGATACATAAGCAATCAAACGAAAGAGGATTTTATATTTTAAAAATCCCTATTGCTAACGAAAAGGTCCGTTTATGAAAAATCTATATAAATTCTATTTCATATTTCATCTAGCAAATCAAATGTGGCTACCAGAAAAGCAAACTTAAGAGTTTGTTTTTTAAAAAAATATAAATTACTCTTAAAACTTTATTAAACTGCTAAAACAGTACAAGGTTAATCTGTTCTTTTTCAGTAGCCTCTACACAGCAAATATGCCACTCCCAGACTAATTAAAGACATAAAACCAACCATAAGTCGATTGGATATATCAAAATACTTTATACACTACCAAGAGAACACTTTGCTCATTATCTTAAAGAAAATTAAATATGTGGGCTGAGCTTCCTGTACCTGGATCTTGCAGTTCATTTACAAAGGCAGTCTCTACTGAAACACTCCATAGTCTTCAGCATACATGTCTTTGAAAACTGAGGATTTCATATGTGGAGATTATAAAACTTGCATTTTTCATTACTATGATAGCCATGGTAAAAATTAATATATAAATTTTAAAACTCCAGCTATAATGCAGTTTAACTATAAATTTTAATGATTAAAAGATGGCCTTTCCACTTCATAGCTGCTTTCCTTTTCAAATCAATTTCAGATATTCTGAGTGCCTAACAGGCAACACTATACTATAGTTATGTTAGCAGCTGTATTACTTAAATAAACCTTACCTATCCTTTTCCCTGAAATCAAAATTGTTTCCCATTAAAAATAAACTTTAAAAAGCAGACCTTCCCAAACCTTCTTCCAAACTGATGATGGCTGCTTGCAGCTGATTCTGACTGACTGCTTCAAGAGACAGGCCCAGACGAGAGGACTCAGTGACGAATGCTGGCAGCAGTGCTTTGCTTGAGTGGCCTAACAAGTAGACAGTTGCCAGTTTGAAATTCTGCTGAACAGCTTGCTGCTGCCCAGGGTCATTCGCCGGTCAACACTTTCAGATCCAGTTAATTGTTAAATTAGGGATCTTTGGAAGGATTTATCATTAAAAGGAAGGTTGTAGCCTATCTGCATCATTTCAAAGCATGACAAGAACTTGTTCCTGGCTAGGTTAGCAGAAGATGCAGAACATGTAGAGGAATATGCAAAGAGGAGGCAGGTAATATGTTTGAAACCAATAGTTACAGAAGAAAAGTTAGTAGGGAGATAAACGAGATGAATTAGTCTTCACACTCTTTACAACATTAAAACAGATGTAATGGACCACAACATATCCCTGGGGTTGTAGCATTCATTACCTGAACAAGGCAGTGCACGGCAAGAATGAAACTAGCAAATGGCATTTGAGATATTAGCAACAAAAATTTTCAGGGTTGGTTATTTTTATTTTCATGTTTGTCATGCATTTACTATTTAAGCTTTAGGGAAAATAATTCACTTACCAATTACTGTTAAAATAAATAAAAGTGTGGCAACAGCTGATGTTCCATAAAACATGGTACTGATATTACAAGCCAGGAGATCTGTGTTATTCTGTGTGTTGGGCACTAAGACTGGTGGTAGCAAAAAGCCAACTGCAGTTCCAAGCTGTAAAATAAAGAGTCCTGTTAACAGCTATTATTATAAGAGGAACAAAGTACATACGGGCAATTAATACAACATAAGAGGATAGCTAGTCTATGTAAGGTGCTTTTGTAAACTCTAAAGCACCACGTTCTAATGTCTTTATTACTATCGTACTGTTAAAGGGAACTTGATGACAAATGTCTTCCCTATTCAACAAACATTTACTGAGCTTCTACTATCTGAATGATGCTGCAAAAAGTTGTGTAAGATACAGTACTTACCCTTTAGATGCTCACAAGCAAAAAGAAGTATAAGAATATACAAAATAAGGCTGAGAAAAGACAACCTATAGAATGGGAGAAAATATTTGCAAATCATATATCTGATAAGAGTTTAGTATCCAGAATATATATAGAAGTCTTACAATTCAATGACAAAAAGACAAAACATCCCAATTCAAAAATGGGCAAAGGACTCAGACATTTCTCCAAAGTTATAAAAATGTCCAACAAGCACATGAAAAAATGCTCAACATTATTAATCATTAATGAAATGCAAATCAAAACCACAATGAGGGGCCGGCCCCATGGCTTAGCAGTTGAGTGTGCGCGCTCCGCTGCTGGTGGCCCAGGGTTCGGATCCCAGGCGCGCACCGACGCACTGCTTCTCCGGCCATGCTGAGGCCGCGTCTCACATACAGCAACTGGAAGGATGTGCAACTATGACGTGCAGCTGTCTACTGGGTCTTTGGGCGGGGGAAAAAAAAAGGAGGATTGGCAATAGATGTTGGCTCAGAGCTGGTCTTCCTCGGCAAAAAGAGGAGGATTGGCACTGATGTTCGCTCAGGGCCGATCTTCCTCACCAAAAAAAAAACAAAAAAAAAAAACCACAATGAGATACTACTTCATACCCACTAGGATAGCTATAATAAAAATTTTAAAAATTAAAAAATGGAAAATAAGTATTGGCAAGGATATACAGAAATTGGAACCCTTATACACTGCTACTAGGATTGTAAAATAGTGCAGCCCCTGTGGATAACTGTTCAGCCGTTCCTAAAAAAGTTAAACAAAGAATTACCATATGACCTAGCAACTCCACTCCTAGGTATACAGCCAGAAAACTGAAACAGGTATTCAAACAAATATTGCATATTGTACATGAATATTCATAGCAGCCCTATTCACAACAGCCAAAAGGTAGAAACAACCTGTGGTCTAGTCATACAATGAAATAGTATTCAGTCATGAAAAAAATGAAGTACTGATACATGCTACAAAATGGGTGAAATTTGAATACGTGCTAAATGAAAGAAGCCAGACACAAAAGGTCACATATTATATGACTGCATTTATATGAAATATCTAGAATAGGTAAATCCATAGAGAGAAAAAGCAGATTAGTGATTGCCAGAGGCTAAAGGGAGGGAGGAATGAGGAGTGACTGCTGAGGGGCTGGCCCGTGGCGCAGCGGACGCACTGCTTGTCAGGCCATGCTGTGGCAGCGTCCCATATAAAGCGGAGGAAGATGGGCACAGATGTTAGCTCAGGACCAGTCTTCCTCAGCAAAAAGAGGAGGATTGGCAACAGATGTTAGCTCAGGGCTAATCCTCCTCACCAAAAAATGAAAAAAAAAGAAAAGAAATTGGAGTTAGCCAAGTGAAGCAGTATTCCCAGACAAGGGGACGTCATGTACAAAGGCCAGGAAGGAGAGCAGACCTTGTGAGAAGCTGTTAGTGCCCAGTTCCCCTCAGAGCAGAGAAAGAGCATGTGTGCGGAACAGGGGTGTGGAGAGAGGTGAAGCTGAGGGGTTGGCAGGAGGCAGATCTGGAGGGTCTCATGTTGTTACGTTAGAGAGCTTGAATTTTATCCTAAGGGCAATGGAAGCCACTGCAGGGGGCAAGGGAGTGCCCTGGACAGATGTGCACATTAGAAACACCACAGTGGATGAACGTGGAGCAGAGTGGGAAGAGAGCGAGAGCCACAGATAGGAAGAGCAGTCAGCAAGCTCTGGGCGAGAGCTGCAGTTGGCCAAAGCTAAGACAGCAGCAGTAGAGATGAAGAGAAATGAGGGAGGACGCCAGGTAAATTGTGAGTGGTGGGTTCATACGGGAGATTCAACTGGAAGTATCCAGCTGGCCAGTATCTATATGAGTCTGAAGCTCATTCATTTATTTAACAAATTTTTATGGAGAATCTACAATGTGCCAGGCACTGTAATGAATGCTGGTGACACAGTTGTGTACATTCAGACCATGTGCCTATTTTCATGAAACTTACAATCTAATGGTGAGGATAGGAGATGAGTAATAACAATTAACATATAAACCTGTAAATATACCAGTGTAAGCATTATATGGAGAATTAAAGCACAATGACGTAGGGGCCGGCTGGGTGGTGCAAGCGGTTAAGAGCGCGCGCTCCGCTGCGGCGGCCCCGGGGTTCGCTGGTTGGGATCCTAGGCGCTCACCGACGCACTGCTTGTCAGGCCATGCTGTGGCGGCGTCCCATATAAAGTAGAGGAAGATGGGCATGGATGTTAGCCCAGGGCCAGTCTTCCTCAGCAAAAAAAAGAGGACGACTGGCAGATGTTAGCACAGGGCTGATCTCCTCACACACACACACACAAAAACGCACAATGACGTAATAAAAGAGTGACTGGGCAACTCTAAATGGGATCGTCAAGAAATGCCACTGAATGATATTTAAAACGAATTTAGGGGGCCGGCACTGTTAAGTGCACGCGCTCCACTGCTGGCGGCCCAGGTTCGGATCCCGGGTGCGCACCGACGCACTGCTTGTCAGGCCATGCTGAGGCGGCGTCCCATATAAAGTAGAAGAAGATGGGCACGGATGTTAGCCCAGGGCCAGTCTTCCTCAGCAAAAAAAAGAGGAGGATTGGCATGGATGTTAGCTCAGAGCCGATATTCCTCACACACACACACAAAAAAAGAATTTAAACTGAAAGCTGAGCAACAATAAGGACGTAATAATGTGATCCTAGGAGAAAGAACATTCCAAGCAGAGGGAATGTTTCTGCAAAGAGCCTTATGCAAATGCAAGCTTAGTGTTAAGGAACAAAAGAGGAATGTTAGTAAGATTTTGTAATCCAGAGTAAAAAGTTTAGATTTTAAGTACCATAGGAAATCATTGGCAAGTTCAAAGCAGGGCAATAACATGATCTGATCTATGTTTTACAAGGTCCTCTCAGGTTGGCAAGATGGCAGTATAGAGGGGTAGTTAGAAGCTAGGATTAAGGAATCAGACAGAATTGAGTGTGAATGCTGCCACTAATTAGCTGTGTGACTTTGGAAGTTAATTTCATTCCTCCAAGTCTCACTTTCTGTATCTGTAAAATGGGGAGACTAATAGTTCCTACCTTACATTATTAAATTAAATGACACAATACCTGTAAAGTACTTAGCATGGTGCCATGTTCTTAGTTCTCAGTAAGTGCTCAATAATGTTGAATATTATTATGAATGATCACTCCATAATGTAGGCTGAAGATGCATAATTGGCGGTTATGAGCAAGTACCTAGCTACTGGAGTCAAGGAAGGATGAGAACACTTAGGGAGAATGTAGGAAGAAGGCCCAAAGTTGTGCTGAGTCAGTTAGAGGGAAATCTATGAGAAAACATTTCCATTTATTATCCATGAAATAATAAATATGTTTATATTATATATATTATAAATAAATAAATCTATGAAATAAATATTCATATCCATGAAATAAATAAATAATCTATAAATATGGAGTTGATAATACTTCTGTCATACTCAATGAAGTGTTAATCTTGAATATAATTTTGTAAACGTAAAATACTTTAAGAAAACAGTTCCTATCCAAACATGCAGAAGCAACCAACTAAAATATCAGTCACAAATTATTTTGGATACACAATTATATTTCAAGCTATCCCGTCTCCTATACTTTCAGGGAAAGGAATATAAAGCAATGAGCATGTACAGTTAGTCTTTTTATGGATTTTAAATAAATCTTATTGTGATCTTGAAACAAGTGTTAGACCAGAAGTAAGAGTAACATTCTTTTGTTACATAGCTACATGTAGTAACACGTTTATATATGTACCTGTATAGCATGTATAGACAGAGGTGACTTTTTTGATATATTTTTAACTAGATTCTCCTCAAGCTGAATGGACAGTCAATACAATTTACATAAAGTATCATAGGACTCCATACGTAAAATTTAAAATACAATAATCAGTCTGCAATTTTAAAAAACCAGACAAAACAATCTACGTAGCAATGCTATTTAAATGCTAACGGAATTTAAACCTGTGGTGTCAGAAAAGACTAGGAAGCACCTTAATAGAGACTTGGCAAAATAAGCCACCCTTTTACAATGGATTCCATGATCTGTGATTTGTCTTGCATTTTCTTACTGTTACTTGGTAATTGGACTCAGTAATGCTGTGAGGCCTTTATCACTAGAACATTTATTTAGCAGTTATTTACAAGTGTCTGTTCCGTACCAGGCACTCTCTTAATTGCTAATATATAAAATTAAACAGGGGCTGTTCATGCTGACCACTCAAAATGGGAACAAATTTCCCAGAATCCAATACCTTCCTTTTGCAAAGAATATACTGGTGACAAAATATTACCTCCCTTAGTCTCATTCATTATTGCACTAACAAGTTTTCTATGATGTTAGGCATATACAGGCTAAAACAGTGAAGTATTTTATAGGTAATTTTCCAAGATGACAAGATGGTCACTTGAAACTGGTTTTGAAAGCTCTGTCCTTACAAATAAATCAAAAACCCTCTTTAATCCAAGACTGTCTCCTCTCTTGTAAGACTACTCATCTCTCCTTCATTTAGAGACAAATGCCTCCTGAGTGTCCATCCATACGCCTAGCTCACACGGCCTATGACTTTTTCTGCTCCTTTAAGGGTGCGATTTTCGTCTAGCACCCTAGTCCTTACCTGATTGCCTAGCACGGCGGTGGCACAAGCTGTGGAGACCTCCTTGGGCCCAAACCACACTGATGCGATGCGGGAAGGTAAACCGAGGATGAACACCTGCGCCACGGAGCACAGGCACTGACCCAGCATGGTGACCCAGAAGAGATGCTGCTGCACACTGCAGCACTTGACCCAGGCGCCCAGGCAGTTGAGGCCGGAGCCCAGCAGGGCGGTGACCCGCAGGCCTCTGGTGTCCAGCAGCCAGGTGGCCGGGAAGATGAGGGGCACGTAGGCCAGCATGTACACCATGGACAGCCAGTCGATGTGCAGCGAGGAGACGCTGTAGAAACCCTCGAAGATGTTGCTGATGATGCTGTACTGGATCCATTGAAAGGCGTTCACCAGCGAGTACAGGCTGAAGATCAGGAGCACCACAAAGCGCCGCGCGGAGAGCGCCGTCCGGGCCACCTGGGCGCCCTCGGGCCCTGGGGTCTTCTCCCCGGGGCCCGTGGGCAGCAGCCGGACCTGGGTCTCCTCCTCCGGGCCCGGCGGAGACTGCGGCCTGCCCAGGGCTCCCAAGACGGCCGCGGGGCTGTCCCGAGGAACCCCATTCAGCGCCAGGCAGCCGGCTTTGAGCCCGTTCTGCAGCTCCGCGCTCACCTTGTCGGCGGGCGCGTCCCCCGGGACCAGGAGGTAGCCTTTCGCGGGCGGGTGCCCGGCCGCCACCGCTGCCCCCTCCTCATCATCCGGCCGCGCCATGTCCCCGGGCACCCGGCGCCGCCTCGCGCCCCGCTCTCCTCCCCCGCCCTGCACGCCCGGCCCAGGACCTGAGGCCCTCCCTGCACCCCAACCCCTAGCCGTTGGCCCACCGCTCCTGAGACACTTTCCCTCGCCGAGGGAGGCCGGGTGTGGCCCGCGAAACGCACACCACGTTGCCCGGTTCCGCAAGCGAAGCACTCCTCCCAACGCGTGGCGGAACCCGCGGTCGCCCCGCCCCGACAGCGACGCTTCACCGCGCGGCGCCCACCAGCCAATCAGCCGGCGCGGGGGCCAACGCGGAGCTTTCGTGAGGGGCGGGCGGGAGCGGGGTGCCTTGCCGGAAGCAGAGGAGGACAGCCGGGCTCAAAGTTCTGTTGATTTTTCCTGCTATATTCTGAGAACTTGAAACGGTATCTAGGAGACGTGTCCAATAAATATTTACTGAATGACTGCAGCTAACGAGCATTGAATTACTATTGAATATTTTAAATAATTACTTGCTTTGTAAATAGATCCATATCTTTTTTTTTAAAAGAACTTGTAAATTTCCCCTGCAAAATATGATTTTCTAAACATTGATTCAGATATTATTTTAGATTATTGAGCGATGTTTTCTGAATGAACAATTAAATGTGGAATCCAAAGGATTTCAGTTTTAGTTAAGTTTATTTTATGGATTTCTGAAAAATGAATTAATTGCATTGCTTAAAATGCAGCACAACTTATTATTCAATATTCAGAGGCATTTTACATAGCTCACAAAAAAGCTGAAAGGGAATCCAATGCATAGAATTTTAAATGGACCCTGCTTTGCTTGCCTCAGTCCTACTTCTGTTCCAGATGTTCACAGTAAACATTCTGGTGTCTGCAAACTTCCCACCCTCTTCCTGAAACCAGAAACTGGCAAATTATATTAGACTTTGTTTTCCTGTTACCCAGAGGGCGTTGGAGATAATCTTCTGCCAGATCTGAAAGATAACTTTCGTTTCTGCGCAGAGACAGCTTCCTGAATGTACTCCTTCAGGGAGGCCATTCTTTCTTGATTGTGTAGGCTCCTGCTGTTTACAGATAATTTGTCTTCTCTATGTCTTAGCAAAAAGAGTTGGGTTGGGAGTCCTCTGGGTATCCTGGATTCCAGTCAGCAGCTAATTTCTCTCCGTGTTTTTACCATCTGGCACCTATCCTATTCTTGCCCACCTTGTCATTTGCTTTCCCTGCACATGACACAGCTCTGTATCTGACAGCATCACCATCTACATGGAGCATACCACTAAGGGGGTCTAGAGTAGTGGGGAAGGGCATCAGATCTAGAGCCAGGCTACCTGGATTTGAATCCCAGCTTCAGACTCACTAGTTGTGCAACACTGGGCAAGTTACTTAGCTGTTCTGTAATGGTACATGCTTCACGGGATTGTTACTATGAAGATTAATGGGTGAGTGATGCCTGGCACATGGTCTAGGCATTTTTAGTTACAGTTATTACGGTAGTCTACTATAGTGGTTAAGGGTCCAGATTCCAGAGCCAACTGACCTGGACTCAAATCCTAGCTCTTTCGCTTACTAGCAGCTGTATGACTTTGGACTAGTTACTCTGTGCCTCAGTTTCTTGCAACTGGAAAATGAGGACAATATTCTTCATGAGATTGTTGTGAGAAATAAATGGCTAATAAGTTTAAAGAACTTAAATGGTATCTGACCTCTGATCTATAATAATACTCAGTAAATGTTACCCAAAGCCATTATTATCAACTCATATCTTTTCTCAAAGTCATATATCATTCTCATGTTATCTTAGATTTGACCCCAATCTTGTCTATTTAAGCCTGCTTGGATTGTCCTGGAGTTACTCCAACCTCTTTCAGACTGAATTTATGATTGTAAGGCCCCTCCCCAGAGGGTGCTCTGAGGATGCACCTAAAGGGCAGCACACAATGGCGTATACTAACTACACTTGGGCTAACCTTATCATCAGAGGTGGTCAACATTTGAATGGATTGCCGTGTGACATAACTAGACAACAGTTAGATGATATCTATGTTGGACCAGGTATGTTATAGTTAGGGTTCTCAAATTCCATGGCAAATTGAGCTATGTGAGATCTAAGATTTCTTCTGACTTTAAGTTTCTATGATTTATGAAAAGTAAAATAAGATATTTCCAGTGAAAGGACCGGACAAAATTCATATAACTGATTTCAACCAAGTTCCATAAAGAATGGAGTACAGAAAGGGGAAACCTCAGCAGTATCTCTTTGTAGTGCCATTCTAATCTCTTACCTTTGCCTCCTCTCTCTTGAGGTTTTGGTGGTAGATACTTTTTAACCAGTTTAGGCGTGAATAATACTTTATATCATATGTTAGGATGTTTAACATAACATGAAACTTAATCTCTGCCAGAGAGTACACTACTGGGAGCATTACTTGACTGGGAGTCAGGATGAGATTGAGCTACACTATGGGTGTGGAATGCCAAGTCTGAGAGAGATTTGAGTAAGTAGTGGTTCAGTGATTGAGATCTGAACGACACCCAGGAGCCAAGGTCCAAGATGCTGTTAGGAGTGATGTGGCTGTTCCTGAGCAAAGGTTTCCCGTAAGCTAAGAGGGTAAGATGCAAGCCAGAACAATGCCACTAGGTGTAAAATCCATGTTTCACGGGGAGAGGGGTAGATTTTAGCAGGCTTGCCTCCAGTTTGCGTCGTTGTTACCGTGCTCTGTCCGCCTGAGCGGCCAAGGCTCTGTGGAATACTGTTCTACTCTGTGGAAAGATTACATTGGGAATGGAGGAGTGGAACAGGCTGGAAATCAGGTCCTCCTATGTGTACTTTTTTCCCCCACTGAGGCACTTTATTTGTATGTATATATTACATTCCTAGAAAAAGAATCCCAGGATTTTCCCTTCCCTATGTTTTTGTCTTGCTTTCTCTTGGTCCATGCTGCCAGTTGAGTTCGTCAGTACGGTGAAACCAAACTGACGGAATGGGAGCAGATTCTTGCTACCATTTTCCTAGAGCTTTGAGTTGCACATCAAATCTAGGGCTGGTCACTGCACACTGGTTTAACCTGCTTGTGAGGTTCAGAACAATTTTCCCAGCTCTGTGATCATCAGTAACTTCAAATTCACCGATGTAATCATGCTTCAACATCACAGAAACCAAACAAAGACCTTGAAGCATGGCCTAATGAGAACTTGGCGGTTGGGTCTCTTTCCAGCATTGTTGATACTCTTGAGAACATCAGCCAGGACATTCGTGCATACCATTGTAGTGGCACAGAACGATGGTGGAAACCACGTGGACATTTTGGTGGAAATTGCTAGGGATTTAATTCTGCAGAGGGCAGAGCCTCCTGCCCCAAAACGTCTCCAAGGATTTACTAAATTAGCTCCTGCCTTTCCTGTCTGGCTTAAAATTTGCGTTTGAGTGATTTAAGTATAACCAATGTCAAATCACATTTAACTGTCCATATAATAACTTGTTCCTACTCCTTTTAGCATGAATTAATTTATCGGGTTAACTAGTTGGAACGTTAATTTTAAAGATGATGAGATTCAGAATAACAAATATAAAGAAGTTGAAGCAAGATAACCTGAGATTTCCCTTCACACATTTACCCCTGGCTGCTCTCCTACCCCCAGCCATTGTCGTTTGAGCTTATGTTGTTTGTTTTTTAATGTCAAGGGAGGATTTTTTGTTCAGGAAAACCAAAACATGGTTACTTGTGTTTAAATCAATATTTAATTTATTAAATTGCTAATTTCAAATCCTTTATTTTAAAAAGCCCTCAAGCTTAATACACACATTTTGTTATCTATAGATCTTTTGATTAAAAAAAAATTGTCCTCATAAAAATTTTGATTTATGATTACTCAGTGTTCAATTAACTTACAAATCTCACAAATCTCAAATTCCTCTAACCATTTTAATACCGTTTAAGTTTAAATACATATATTTATATTCCCTTAGCCATTCTGAAATATAATGTGTGATTTTCTCAGGCTCATCCAGCACCTGACAAGGTTGACTTACAAGTAGTGATGTGCTGAAACCAGCATGCACAGGCTTGGGAGAGCTGAGTGCATCGCTTCACAACTTCAGCTCAGTGACATCACATTGATAGCTTCCAATTGGCCATAATCGGAGTATTTACACAATGAAAATTGGGAAATGCTACATCTACCAGTATGCCATTGCTAAAATCTAACAAAACAAATCATCCAAAGCATTTAAAACACTACTTACAAACCTAATAAGTTAAAACTTTTTGATTAAAACGAATTTTCTTAAACAGTGAAGTACCGCTTACAAAGAAACTCTTTTAGAACTGTGAGATAATGGAAAAAATATATATTGGTCTCTGCCTCCCATGTCTGGCACAGAGCTCCTAAAACTATTGTAATTTCCTAAATGATAAGAGTACTAGTAACATCTTTTGTTTTAATATTTGATCTTTGACCCCAATTCCTGACACAGAGCTCCTAAATCCCTCGGAATTTCCTGGGTGATAGGAGTGTCTTTTCTTCTAATGAGGTGACTTTTGGTGGGCTCTTGGATGTGGGCTGGTCACTAGAAAGACCAAGCCATGATGAGAAGGTTGGAATTTTCAGCCCCACCCCTCATTCTCCAGGAAGGGGAGAGGGGCTGGAAATGGAGTTAATGATTAATCATGCCTACATGATAAAGCTTCCATAAAAATCCCAAAAGTATGAAGTTCAGAGAGCTTCTGGGTTGGCGAACACGTGGAGGTGCTGGGAGAGTGGCACTCTCAGAGAGAGCACAGAAGCTCAATGCCCCTTCCCACATACCTTGCTCTGTGCATCTCTTCTATCTAGATGTTCATCTGTATCCTTTATCATATCCTTTTATAGCAAACTGGTAAATAGTAAGTAACTGTTTTCCTTAGTTATGTGAACTGCTGTAGCAAATTAACCGAACATGAGGAGGAAGTCATGGGAACCTCCAATTTACAGCCAATCAATCAGTTAGAAGCTCAGGTGACAACGTGGACTTGTGATTGGCATCTGAAGTGGGGGGAGGTGCAGTTTTGTGGGACTGAGACCTTAACTGTGGGATCTGACACTATCTCCAGGATGATAGTGTTAGAAGTGAGTGGAACTGTAGAACGCTCAGCTGGTGTTGCAGAATTGTTTGGCATGGAAAAACAAAAACCTACACA